CCTCATAGCTAGGAAGTGGTGGAACTGGCATCGGAACCAGGCTGACATTAGAATCTATGTTCTGAATTATGCTGCTTCCGAGAAGACTGTCATCAATCATCATGTTGGGTAAACCTTTAATCCACAAGTACTGATGTTTGACTAACGCTCAAGAATGCTCTGCTTAATAAACAATGCCTTTAAACACCAAAATAAACAAAAGCAAAAAAAGCAAAGAGGTAGGTTGGACAAGTGAAAATACTCAAAACGAAGATGATCTAAACAATGTTTAGAATAGTAGCAGTAATCTCTTGGGCACTAGAGAATATCTCCATTGCTCCTGGGTGGCTGGAAGCAGCAACGCTAGCAAGATTTGAGATACAACAGTTTTTCCTTAGATTTATGTGACAGAAGTCACTTGGGATGATGGCAGTTTCTCCTCCTACAGTCTGTCCCTCCTGGAGACCCAATAATGAAGATTAATATCTGTGTGGTGCTTAGAGTGTAGTCAGCATTCACTCCTATGGGGCATCTGCAGACACATCCTGGGAAAGGTCTGGGGCCAGGGTCATCTGTTTTCTAAGATCAGAAACCTGAGGTTCAGAGAAGCACAGTGACCTGCTCAAGGTCAAAGGTCTAATAAAAGCTAGATTTAAACTATATCTTCTGAATGCTTTTCAAATGCTATTTTCACCTCCATGGGTCATTTTCATCCCTGGTCTAAATTAGAAAGAACAGAGATTAAGGCTTCTTGGAAGCAAATTTCTAGACTCCTGAGATGTGTATATACTACAGTTAAAGAGGCTAGAAGATGGGTTGGCAAAAAACACCCATCATTTAAAAAAAATAACAGGAACAGATTTATTGAGATATAATTTACAAATCATAAATTCACCCTTTTAAAATGCATGATTTGGTGGATTTTTATACATTCACAACTACATCAGCACTAATTAATTCCAAACACTTTTATCACCACAGACAGAAACCCACAGCTATTGCAGTTATTCTTTGCTCTAGCTTTATGGACCTCTAATCTAATAGTGCTTCTGTGGATTCACCTATCCTGGACATTTCTTGTAACTACTGTCATTCACTAGGTGGCCTTTTGTGTCTGGATTCTTTTACTTACATCATATTGTTTCCAAGGTACACTTATTATTGTAGGATGTGGCAGCACATCATTCTCTTTATAGCCAAATAGCATTCCATTGGTTGATATACCACATTTTATTTATGCACATATCAGCTAATAGAAATTTGGGGAGTTCTAATTTGGGGCTATTATGTGCTATGAATAGTGCCACTGTGAGCGTTCAAGTACAGGTTTTTGTCTGGACACATGTTTTCATTTCCCTTGGAGATATGCATAGGAATAGAAGTGCTGGGTCATATCATAATTCTATGTTTAGTTTTGGCAGAGATGCCAGATTAGAATAGTTCTTTATTATATTTGTTCCCTTATTATTTACTATTCCATTTAGCCTATTTCCAAAGTAATTATATCATTTTTGCACACCTACCAGTATGAGGGTTCACATTTCTCCACATCTTCCTAAACTTACTGTTATCTGATGTTTTTATTATAGCTATTTTAGTAGATGTGAAGTAGTATCTCATAGTTTTGAGTTGCATTTCTCTGATATCTAGTGATGTTGAATATCTTTTCATGTACGTGTTGGCCAGTTGTATACCTTTTTTGGAGAAATGTCTATTTATATCTTTTGCTTACTTAATTAGGTTGCTTTTTTACTGTCAAGTATAGGAGTTTATTAATATATTCTAAAAATAAGTCCCTTATCAGAGATATGATCTACAAATATTTTTTCTCATTTGATTGGTTGACTTCTCATTTTTAATAGTATCCTAATAAATACCATAGTTTTTAATTTTGATATAGTCCAATTGATCTATTTTTTTCTTGTATTTTTAAATATGACTTGTATTTTTCATATTTAAAAAAAATTGCCCAATCCAAGATCACAAAGATTACAGAGGTTTTCTTTAAGAGTTTCATACATTTAGGGCTATGATCTATTTTGAGTTTAGTTTGTATGTGAAATGAAAAGAACTTCAAATGGGCATGGTGGTGCATACTTGTAATACCATCTACTCAGGAGGCCGAGACAGGAGGATTGCAAGTCTGAGGTCAGCCTAGGTAACTTAATAAGACCCTGTATCAAAATAAATATTAAAAAAGGGTTGGGAAGCTGGGGATGTAGAGTGCCTCTGGGTTTAATCTCTAGTGCCACTAAAAGAAAGAGGAGGAGGAAAAATGAGAAACGGAGGAGAAAGAAAAAGAAAAGAATGTCACTCTCTTGTATATGTATATCCAACTGGTCCATTTGTTGAAAAGTCTATTCTTTTCCCATCAAACTGATTTGCCAGCCTTGTACGAAATCAATTGATCACAAATGTAAGGGTTTATTTCTGTATGCTCAATTCCATTCCATTGATTTACATGTATGCCCTTATTCAGTACCACAGTATCCCGATAGCCATAGTTTTGTAGAAAGTTTTGAAATCAGGAAGTGTAGTTCTTGAACTTTGTTATTATTTTTCAACTGTCTTAGCTATTCTGGTCCCCTTGGTATTCTATATGCAGTTTAGGACCAGCTTATCCAAATCTGAAAGGTTAGAAAGTAGGGGGAGAAAAAGGCACCTAGGATTTACACAATGTGTGGATCGGTTTGTAAGGTCCTTGCTTAGCATCTGCACTGCCATCTTAAGTGACAGATGCCATTTTAATGAAAAGGTTTTGCTTTCCCGCCCAAGGGCATTTCTGAGAAAGACTCACCACTCCCTCATACCAACACAACCCCTAACAGCTGTATTAGGACACACCCAGCTCTGATCCTGAGCCTCCCCCAATAAAGTCCTGAAACCCAAGCCTGTTTTGCCTCTCTCTCCTATAGAGAGGTGGCTTTTACTTGTCCCCTCTGACAAATAAACTCTCTCATGTGTATTTCTGCCTGGTCTCCGTCTTTCATTTCTGGCTCACCCATCTCTCATTGCTTGCTTTCCCTTCAACAGGCATTTTAACAATTTTAGTCTTCCAATCCATCCATGAATATAGGTTATCTTTTCATTCATTTAGTTCTTCTTCAATTTCTTAGAATATTTCATAGTTCTAAGCATACAACCCTTGCATTAATGTTGTTAAGTTTATATCCTAAGCTTGCGTTCTTTTTTATGCTACAAGTTTTTTTCTAGACGTGTTTTAAGTTCTCTTAGCTATACGTGCAGGAATGGAATTGCTGAATCATAGTAGATGAAACTGCTTTCCTAATTTTATTTTTGGAGTTTTCACTGCAAATGTATTAGAAATGTAATTGATTTTTGTATATTGATATAGTCTCCTGAAACCTTGCTAAACTCCATTTATTAGCTCTAAAACTTCACAGTAGATAGCCTAGGATTTTTTTTTTTATATATATTTGCTCATGTCATCTGCAAATTCAGGTAGTTTACTTTTTTTCTTTCTATCTGGATGTCTTCTGCTTCTCTTGACTAATTTCCTTAACTGGGACATCCAATACAATGTTGCAAAGAAGTGATGAGAGCACCTGGCTTATTGCTGAATCCTAGGGAGAAAACATTCAGTATTTAACTATTAAGTAGACACTAGCGCTGTGTGTGTGTGTGTGTGTGTTTCATTTTGTCCTTTATTGATAATTTTTGTTTCTTTGTTTTTGTTGTTTATTTTGGGTATTTTTGTAAATGGCTTTGGTTAGGTGAAGGAAGTTCCCTTCTATTCTTTGTTAAATATTTTTTGTACAAAACATGTATACTCAGAAAAAATGAGAAATTATACCCAATCTATGTATGATTTATCAAAGTGCATAAATGCATTCTACTGTCATGTATAACTAATTTTTTAAAAATTAAAAAAAGAATAGCATTAAACTGAAAAAAATATGTTGATTTTATCAAATGTTTTTTCTGCATCTATTGAGATTATTATATACTTTTTGTCCTTTATTCTATTGATATGGTGTATTACATTAGTTGATTTTTGTATGTTATACCATTTTTGTTTCCTGGGAAAAATCCCACTTTACCATGTCTATGACCTTTTTTTTTGTTGCTGATTCAGTTTACTGGTATTAGAATGTTTGTACAGATACTTCTCAATTTACAGTAGGATTATATCCTGATAAATCCATTGTAAGTAAAAAAACATCTTGTGTTTAAAATGCATTTAATGCACCTAACCTACCAAACAACATAACTTAACCATAGAGTGTACTGCCGAGTATCGAATATTTACCCTCATGATTATTCAGCTGACTAGGAGCCGTGACTCACAGCATTCTGAGAGTATCATACTGCATATTGCTAAATTGGCTAAGTTGAATACTCAAAATATGGCATGGTAAAAATGGTAGAAATCATATCATATTTAGTAGGATGCATATTCATATTTATATCATTGTAAATGTGAAAAATCATAAGTCAAACCATCCTAAGTTGGAGACCGTCTGTATCTATAGTAATAAGAGCTATTGATCTGTAGTTCTTTTGTGATGTCTCTGTCTGGTTTTGCTATCAGTGTAATATTGGCCTCACAGAATGAGTTGTAAAATGTTGCCTCCTCTTCTACTCTTTGGGAAGAGTCTGTGAATGATTGATATTAATTCTCCTTTAAAGGTTTTTTGTAGTTTAGCAGTGAAGCCATCTCGGCTGTGGCTTTGTGAGTGTATGTGGGGGGTGGGTAATTATTTCTTGATTAATAATTCAATCTCTTTGTTATAGATCTACTTGGAATGTTTTTGTATTTTGGATCCTGATTATTATTATCACCATGGCAGTAAAAAATATTTGAAATCATAATCCACAAAGAATTCAGGTTGGGTGGCCATTTAGTCTTGGTTTTATGGTTCTTGAGTCTCTGCTTTAAGAGTCTTAAGATCTCAAATTATTTACCATTTATTATGTTAGTTTTCCTCACTGTGATAAAATACCTGAGATAATCAACTTACAAAGAAAAAAGGATTTAGTCTGGCTTACCATTTCGGGGTTTCAGTCCATGGTCATGTGATGCACTGTGTTTGGATCTGTGGCAAGGCAGGCATCATGGTGAGGAGCCTATTGTAGAGAAGAGCTGCTCATCTCAGGGCAGCTAGGAAACAAAATAGGGAGAGAAGTAGGGGTCCCAATGGCCCCTTCAAGGACATGCTCCAAATGAGCTAGCGAGGTCCCACTACCTCCCAATAGCATAAGGGTCTTTTGGAAACACCTAAATCCAAATTGTGATATCTAGGTTACAAAGCACAAATTTAACATGAATAAGAAAACATACAGAGAATCATAAAGAAGTGAGGAATTGATTGAGAAGAGAAATAAAGAGGAGATGTGCCAGGTTTTAAAGTCCACTGTAACAGAGGAATGCCAGCTCATGCCCAAAGTTGCTCCTGGGGAGTTCCTCTAACTCTAGTCCCCCGTGATGGACCTTGACCCTTTTCTACCAGCCAAGGTTACCTGGCCAGAGAAAGAACTTAATCCAGGAGCAGGGTTCATCCTGGAGCAACCTGAGGTCAGTGACTTAAACCAGCATAAAAAGGTGAGCTGTGTCAACCAGACTCTCTTCTGGAATCTGAATTTGGGGAAGCGAACTGAGAGAGCTGCCAGCCCAGCCAGTTGCTAAAAGACTTGTCCCAGGTATTACCTTGAGATCAAGGTGGCACTGGAGATCCCAGGGCAAGCCAAAGTCACGTGGATGCCAAGGTCATGAGGAAACAGAAACTGTGGAGTAGAGAACACGCTGATCAGTAAAGGAGTCAACCCTCACAACAGGCAGCCACAGCATGAGAAAAAGACCGTTCAACCAAAACTAGAGCAGTGGAACAGAGAGTCCTGGAGTCTGCCTGGGAACGTGGTATCGTGCCAACCTCGGTCTAAATCCATGCGTAACCTTTGTGCCACTCCTTGCCCCTGTTTTCCTGATGACTCTTTGAAGGCTGTTCTTTACACACTAAGATCGACAGTGAAACAGACTTGGTTAGGCAGAGTGGAAGGGAAAGAAGTTCAGGATCTCAAATCAGCATGGATGGCATCATAGAGATGGATTTCTCATGGACTACCCAGGGAAGGGCAGAAAGAGGACTTTTTAAAGTAGGAGATTCCAATGGTCCACACACCTAGATTTTTAAATAGTCTAAACTGTGTATTGGGTGAATGAATGAAAGTAAACAAGTTGGGCTCTCAGAATCAGGACTCTAGACTTGAGGCAACAGGAAACCTCAGTTGTTTGGAACAGGAAGGTGATACCATCAATCAGGCATCTGAAAAATCACACAAGGTTTGCAAAGACATTCCATCCCCAACAGTGGAGCAGGCTGGTCCTGGTGTCACAGTGCTGGACCGAACAAGTCCAGCAACACACCGGCTGAGGAGACAAGAAGGTAGTGCATGCTGGGAAGCAGAGCCACACTGCAGTGAGGGCTGAGGGAGGCATCCTCCCAGACATATCAGAAGCTAAGAAGTGGCCAGAGCCACCAGCCAGGGAGGCCACTGTGGGGAATGCTGCTCCTCTTTCTGACTGCCTGGAAGTAGTAGCTCTAAGTTTCTATGCAAACTCACCGTCAGTTCTCAATGGGCCCATTAGAACAGGGCTGTCGGCCTCCTGTGGACTTCCTTATAGAACTCAGATGTCACACGTAGACCCGTGACAGTTGTGTCCTCATCCTGTCAACTAGGCATCTGTAAGACAAGCACCACAATGGTCTGTCTCACTTATGTGGAGTCTAAAAAGTCAATCAAGTAGAAAATAAAATGAAGACTACCAGAAGCTGGGGTGGGTCTTTGGTTGGGAAGATGGGGAGAGATACTGGTCAAAGGATAAAAAAATTTCGGTGACAAAAGAGGAATAAATTGAAGAGAACTAGGTATAATAAATTGAAGAGAGTTTGGTGACTGTAGTTAATGACAATATTTTGTATCCTTGAAGAATACAAAGAATGCAGATGTTGTGTTCTTATCACAGAATGATAACCGTGTAAGGCAACATTTGTGAATTAGCTAGATTTCGCAACTTCACAAAGTACATATACTTCAAAACATCATGTAGTACATGATAGACATATAATTTTATCTGTGAATTAAAAAAAAAAACATGAAACATGTATGTTCTGTAAATTCCTCCTTTTCTGGACCGCCAAGGTTTCTTTCTCAACCCATAACACAGGTTGGATAAAGACCTACTTCTCCCAACCCCACTGTTTAAAGACCCACCCTCTCCAAGATGACGTTGGAGGTTATAAATAGAGTGTTTTGTTTTGCATACCCAGCAAGGAGCACAGAGAGCATCTCCCCCAGGGCACCAGGTGCATCTCCTGGGCCTCCTGGGTTTGCTCCCTGGGCTCCTGTTTCTTATCCCTCGGCTCTGGAGGCAGGCATTGGTGTCCATCTGGGTTAATCCCATCTGCCATCCAGCTGTGGTTGGACTCTGCATAAGGGTAAAGTGAAAGCAGCGTGGTTAAGACCCCAAGCCTGGGAGGGGCAAGGAGGACTGGGAGAGGAGGCCAGCAGAGAAGAGATACAGGCAGCATCTGCTGGTGAGGGACCGAGGTGTGGGACCACCCCAAGTACCAGTCGCCCCTGCAGCAGGTAGGACACAGCCTGCCCAGCACAGATCAGGAGGAGGAGTGGCTTCGCCTCCGTAGCCTCCCACACCCTGACTGCATTAAAGGCCACACTGGGCCCACAATGACTTTTTGATGAAGTGGATGCCGCATCCTGCAGGGCCAACCGTCTCAGGAAGAGAACAGCTCAGCAGAAAGCAGATCCTGCTTTCCAGTCTGCTCTTCTCTTGTCTGCTTGCTTTTAAAAGTGTGGCTTCTGGATGCCACTTTCATTCTAAGCCACCTATATAGCTTCTCAGCTGGGTAGGGTGGTGTTGGGGAGTGGGGGGGGGGGGGGCGGATCCAGCAACAGTCACTGCCAAGTGGCTGGGCTTCTGTGAGAACACCTATGGATGTATACTGTTCTGGGCAAGAACAGAACAAAGTCGCTTTTATCTGCTGCTTTCCAAAAGCCTTTGTGTGCTTTAGAAGCTGGGTATTATTGCATTATTAAAGCCCCAGTGAGCCAGCCAAGGCAAGGATACACCAGAGCTGTCCCAAGCAGCCTCGGCTAGTTCAGACTTAGCCTGTGACCCTGTCTGACTCCTGGCCTGTCTTACCACCAGCCAAGGAAGGCAGGAGAAGAGGAGGAGCAGGAGAGGCTGGCCCTTACTGAAGGTGCCCCGCTTCTCACTGAACTGGTCCAGCCAGTTCCCAGGAATTATTCTAAGCATAATCCATTTTGCCAATATTGTGTTTCTTAAAGCACCAGCAGCATAAAGCAGCGCAAAACAATTGCATAAGATCACATCTGCAATCAGATTTCCCAGGGTTCAGCTAGCAATGTGGGAGAGGTTGGGAGGACCAAGTGTTCAGTTCTCTGTGTGTCCTCCCCAAGGGGCTGGGGACTGGGGAACAGCCTGGGGCATAGTGTGCTCAGGGCAGGTTTGCTCTAGTTTGCTCAGATTCCTAGTTGTAACACCTGTGAGCTTTGTCATCTCTGGCCCAGCTCTCACAGAGGAGAGGAAGTCAAAAGAGGCAAGGTGATTTGTCCAAGGTCGCACAGTGAGTTGTTCCCCGCTCCGATAACCACAGCTTGGACACACGCTGGGCACGCGTGGTGTGCCTTCTCCAGGTCCACAGGCACAGATGACCTTTAAATGGCAGTGGCAGTTTCACATCAGTGTTTGGAAAGATAAGCCCCCAGAAGGCCAGGACTGTATTTTTCATGGGTCTTAGGTGGCACCCAGTGAGGATTAGGTATATTGAAGACCTTACACTTCGGGGGCAACCATGAAAAATATTATCAACATCCCTTCTCCAACTAGCTCCAGTGTGCCTTATTCGCATGTAAATGTGGAAAAACAGTCCCAACTGGAGAGGGCACAGTTTCACAGAAAAGCAGAGGGTCACCATGGGTGGGGCAGCCCCTGCACTCCGCAAAGGATTTGGCTGCGAGATCTAGCAATGGCCAAAACACAACCTGCCCTCCAGTAACGGGGCCCGCCCCTGGCAAAATGTTCATCTTTCTAGCCTTACGTCACGTTCACTTCTGTGTAGAATAGCTTCCTTCTGTACCAGCCCTTCCTCTGTAATTCCCCTTCTACCTCATTCTTGTGTTATCTACTCAAAGTTTCCCTTTCTAAAATTTATGGTTTCCAAGTGTCCTTCTTAAGTGACAATGACCAGTCTTGTGGTAAGCCTGGCCTGCGGTGCACTGTTTGAAGCTCCCCCCCCCCCCCCGCCCCCCCAGCCCAGCTACTTGTTCCACTTTTTGGACATGATTTTCCCACAAGACACATAGCTCTCTGTCCCCATGCCACTTCCTCCAGGGGGCCTTCCCTGACCTTCTCTGTCCCTCCACACAACCTACCACAGTGAGCGAGGTTCCTCTCCACAACACCTAGGCGTTCCCCAGAAAGTTCTCAGTCTGCTGGTTGAAAATGATCTAGCCTATCCTTGTCTCAGCTCTGCTCTGCCCCGTATGGGTATGGTAGCTGTCAGCATGTAAGGCACTGAGCACTGAACTGTGTCTAGTCTGAATAGAGAGATGTGTCGTAAATGTAAAATACATACTAGACATTAAATGCCTGAAAAAAAAATGATGTAAAATATCTCAGTAATCATCTTGATCTCGACTATCTGTTGAAATGATGCTATTATAGATGTACTGGGTTCAGTTAAAGATAGGATTAAAATTACTTTCTCTTGTTTCTTTTTTTCTTTTTGTAATGTGATTAATGAGGAAAAAATGTATTTGTATTTCATTATATGGAATATGTTTATATTATATGAATTGCATTAAGTGTAATGCATATATGTAAGACACACACACATGTGATATTATAACATAGATTACATTACATTCTATCATTCTATGCTGCATAGACTGGAAAGTTCCAGGTGTCAAGTACTATGTTAACTTATCTTTGTACCCCCAGCATATAATGCAGACACACGTTGGGGTGTTGAGAAAACATTTTACAAGTGTCACCTGTGTTGTCACTCTCCCCTCCCACCTGGCTGTCTCTCTTAAGATGCTTTGCATGCCCTAAGCCTCACCTGTCAAGCACATGGCAAGAGGCAGGTGCAGAATAAATGCTAAAAAAATAGAAGTAAACATTTTATCTAAACATGCAGAGAGTAAAATGTTTAAAATTTAGTCTATTTTAATCCTACTTGGGGACCGTAGATATGACATTGACACTTTATAGGTGGGAAAAGATTAAAGTATCTGGAACACCCTGGAAGAATTTTTCCAAGCCAAGATAAGGGGTCATCAGGCTTTTAGATGAGGGGCAAACGTCCTAAAAAGTTGATAATTAGAAAAACAGTTCTGGGCTCTGCAAATAAACACAGGAAAAAATACATAGAATACAGACTAACATTCACCACAATATCAAGTAATTGTCTAACTTAGTAAGTTTTGATCAATTCAATGTTAATTCTAAACTTTAAAAAATATTGTATTATTAATATATGAATAAAATAGGAATTGTAGTACAATATTTTATTTTCTGTACTCTTTACTGGTGCATTGGTGTAGATGCCAGTTATCCACTAAATGAGATATCAGCAATAAATCTTTTCTCCTTAAATGTAAAACAAGCAAACCAACAAATAAAACTGGCTCATTGTAAAAGAATTTTGTAAAGGCCTCAAACCTCACAATTATATAGATTTTTTTTTTTCCGTGCTAGGAATTGAACCTAGGGCCTCACTCATGCTATGCAAATGCTCCACCACTGATCACATTCCCAGACCAAATACACAGAAATGCTTAAAGCAAAAACTCAAGAGTCCTCTGTGGTCCGGTCTATGCGGCATAAAATGATAGAAATGTAATGTAATATATGTTATAATATCACATGTATGTGTGTCTTTATAATTGTCTTAAAAAAAATAAACCAATAACCACAAATGAAAAGTTGGTGTTCCTTCAAAGCCTTTGTGTTGGTTTTTTTAAAATATTCTATTCTAAATATCAGTCTGCAACTTACTTTTTAAATGTATTAATCAATTGCCAACATTTTTCTGGGTTAGTATATATAGATCTATCCCATTCTTTCTAGCACAGCATTCCTCCTCTTGACACAAGCCCTTACTGCTATGTATCAGCAGAAAGGACAAATACCTTTTCACTGTCATAAATAGACACTAACAAACAACTTCAGACATGTCTTTGTAATGAACAAAAATAGTTTCACTTATGTCCAATGAGGATGGTGCAATCAGAATAGGATCATCTATATAATTTTTTTTTTTTAAAAAAAGGGTGTAGAGGGTGCAGAGAATGGAGGGGGATGCCCACAGTGAATTATTGAGCTTGGTTTGAAGGTGTTTGTAATACTGAAAGAAAAGTCCACTTCACAGGGACTTGTCTTCTAGTTCCATAATTCTAAAAGTGCTTCTTTTTAATTTAACCTAAATTAATTTCATCTGAAGTCTCTATTTTGGATTGGTCTGTGTGAAGTTCAAGAACATTATCTTAACCTAGGTCCCAAGAGGAACTGCAATTGGAAATATTTTCTCTGGTCTGGTGTTCCCTGCATTACTTTCCACT